CGAACCGAAAGATCCGGATCTCTAAAAAGAGCCGGAAATCCCATCACTAGTGATTTGCGGACAAACCTGCTGGAGCAGTCACTTCAAGTTTTCAAGGAGACACCCAATCAGAGAACAACACCCGCAGGGCGGAGAGGGGAGGGGTTAGAGCAGGAAGCAGAAGTGCCGTGTTGTCAAATTGGCTTCGGGTCAAAGAAGCGATCCCATTGGATTAAAATGAAGTACTATCACATAATTGATCAATATCTTTAAATAGATTGTCAAAGGAACCGGAAGAAATATTCCAAGACTTTAATGTAACCACGAAGTCTTATTTGTTGTTCTAAGCAGAATTTATTAAAAAAAAAAAAAAAAGGTATCGACCAGAACATATCTAGGAAATCAAAGTATCTTTTTGCATTTCAAGTTGATGCTATATCATCATTATGTGGTTGTTTGTTTGTTTGTTTTTTTAAGTTTCTATTTGTTTTGTTTTATTTGTTTTTTACTCTAGTGTAAACTGATCCCCTAGGAGCTTGACTCCAAGTTTCCTGAGTGGTCTAAACTGAGCTGGTTAACCTGAGAGCAGGTTAGTTTGATGCTAATCTCACTCGGTGGTACAGACCGTTTATGGACAGATAGCAAAAAGAGCACTTAGTTCTTTATTACATTATATATTAATGCTAGGTTTTCTTTAAATAAATAACAAGAGATTATATGCAATACAATTTGTAATGTTGAAAGAAATGCTGATGTTATTGTATTGTGAGGTAAAATAAACACATTTTGGGAAACACTTAAGACAATGCAACGATTTCCTGCTTGGATTAGATCCAGCTAATCTCAGATTTATACCAGAGAAATTAAAAAGTGCATCCCAGACAAGAGCTCGGTTCTCAGGAGTTCGTTCAAACGGCACATTTTCTTATAAGTAATAATATAAAGAAAAATAAAACCACCGAGCCAGGCTTTTTCCTGTTACTGCAAATAATTACAGTGCACTACAATCAATCAAACACATAAACTTGAAAAATAAAGCTCATATAGCCTACTTATAGATTTTAATGTGGTCATCAAAATTTAAATTTGTGGTCTTTAAGTATTAATATTATTATTATTATTATGAAAGAATAGGAGCTAAAAGCCAGGCAAAGACTTTCTTTGATTCAGCAAGAGGAAGGTGACATCATATAGCCTACAACAGTAACTTTATTTATACCAGCTCTGCGCTTCAGTCATTAGCAGCTGAGTATCTGTCATAACCTGTGGCCGACAGTAGGTTGTGCTGTCACCCTCTACCCAAAAGCCAGTCATGCTATAGAAAGGATGCTGCTGTCTGTTCACTCACATTGTCATCATGTCAAATAATGCTGCTTATTTTCAGAAGCTCACTGAGAAGAAACCCAATTATGGCTTCTTCTTCATCTTGTTGTGGGGCTTGCTAAGGGCTTTTGAAGCTTTGACTACTTCTCAGGCCCCCTGCTCCTCTGACTCTGGGCTCAGGGTTGCACTTTGAGTACAGGTTTAAGTAGACTATTCATCACCTTTGATTGAAATAACAGTGCTGAAATGTAAATGTTGCATACATAGAAAACATTACACTAGTTGTGAAACTTGAACAGCTGCTGGGTTAAAAAGTAAAAGAGTACCTTCTTGAATAGTTCGGACTGTTGGGAGTAGCTGACTCCTTCAGTTCTCAGTACCCTTGTAAGTTAATAAGGCCAACCTGAAAATAAAAGCTGTTGAAAAGTAGGACGCTGTGAGGACATGCTGAGGCTGCTGCATTATGGGACGGCCGTAAATACAGTGTATAGGTAGAATATACAGTGTGCCACACTGTCCCCTCGTCAGCTGGGTGCTCGGGCTCACGCAGAGCAGTACAAAATCTCAGCTGAGATTCTCTGACTTGCACAGCGAACTGCAGCATGGAGCAAAAGGTAAGCTTTGAAATCTACGAAAAAGACAAAACATTTCAGATCTATGAGCGCTTAGTTTAGCAGAGTCAGTCGTGTTTAAATACCTTAAACAGTTTGCTGCTGCTCACTTATTGTGTCACTGAAGGCAACTCTTCTAAAACTGATAACCTCACAGCTGGTTTTGGCCTTCAGAGTCCTGCCCTGGTCACAGCAATCTGTTTACACGAATAAGGAATTATCTGAATGTTTAATAGTGTGTGAGCATTTATTTGAACAAACAGTGTTTTGAGGATACCTGAGGTCACTCATCCTTCAAATCTTTAGAAACCAGATCTGAGTCATTCTGAATTATCACCTTGGTTCAGTTGCTGAAGAGATGCAATGAATCTTATCAACAAGGCTTGCTTTATAACTCAGCTATGACAGTGGCAATAACAGTAAGCAACTTTAAATAACAAGAACTGCTCCTGCTTGTACAACATATGATAGATAGTGTAAAATCTCTGTTTTCTTGTTGTAAGGTGTAAAATTGCTCTTTAAATGTCAGGCATCCAATTGAAAACAAACACATATTCTCACTTCTTTATTGATTTAATGCTAAAAAAAAGTATTTGAAAGAAATATTTTCAACCATAATTGTGTGTGAGACAAAATTAATCACTTCAGGAATAAAATGGCAAAGGAGTTGTCATTTTTCCATAAGACATGGCCTCTGTGGCACAGTGTATAAGGAATCCTCTTCAAAGAAATCTCTCAGTTGTTGCATAATGGATTACATTATGTTAATGGCCATTTTACCAGAATGCTCTCTTATGTCACCGTGCGATTCTTCCGATCTTCAGGTAGTAATGCAAGATGCCTTTGTTGATGGTTGGAGGAAGCAATGTTAAATTTTAAAGAGAATGAATGAGAGGGCAACGTTACATGTGTCACAACCGAGCCAGCTGACCCAAAGGAAAAAGAAGACGCCGAAGCAGCAGATGTGATCTATTATGATAAAACTGCTCAGTGTATCGGAAAGTTTGGGGATGTTCACTGGTGCAAGTTCCAGCATTATCTCTCTCCAGTCAGCCTGGTGCTGCACAAATTAAATTACACATACACCTCCTTCCTGCCGGCTTGTTTAGGGTGGAGCGGTGTCGTAGCCACATGTGGTGAATGTCAATTTAATCATAAACAAAAAGTGGTCAAACACATTAAAATATTTGTTTAAGATTTAACTACAGATATGCTTTGCAGCTCTCGGCTCCTTATTTTTTCAACAGCTAACAAAAAGTAATTGGAACTTTATTAAATCAGTGCCGTTGCTTTACATAATCACGTGAAATCAGTTTAGAATTTTTAAGTGTAACTTAAAAACTTTTTTCCAAACTGGTGTGATCATCCGCTCTCTATAGAGCACCAAGTAATTAGTTTGAAATGCATCTGCCTAATCAAAGATCAGTAATCGAATACCTGCACTGTAATTTTGTGGGGAGGAGGGTGAGAAGGGGTCTTTGGGTGGATAAAGTTACTGCATCCTTGTATTACATAGCTGCACACGCACACACAGTCATGCACACACAGTCATGCATACACAGTCATGCACACACGCATCTACATGCCTGCACTATCTTCCTTAAGCACA